ATAGATGTTCCATTGTCCGAGGTACTAGCGAGCTGTTTTTCCTGCTTTTTCTCCTTCTGCACTATGTGGGCTAGGCGACGCGACACCGAGAGGTCATAGATTGACTGCTCGACAGTGTCGGAAACCAGATACATCCAAACAGTGGTTGGCCGATGTTGGCCAATGCGGTGTACACGAGCGATAGCCTGAAGCTCAATTGCGGTGTTGATCAAAGGCTCACAAAGGAAGACATGGGTGGCATTCACTAAATTGAGACCGGAGGAATGTGCTTTGGCGTGTAAGAGGAAGCATTCGACCTGAGTAACGATGAGAAGTTAGACGCTGATTGCTAAACATGATTGGCAGGATATTACACTTACTGCAGGGTCACTTTTGAAGGTTTGGATGCCATCCTTGGCGTCAACGCTGCTGAAACCAATCTTGAACCGGGAAAGCGCATTGGCGAGGATCTCAAGAAAGTTTTTGTACTGAGAAAAAACAACCGACTTGGCCCCAGGATCATGCTCCCGAAGCCATAAGATATGCCGTGCCAAAGTATCGATCTTTGTGCCATAGGAGCTATCCAGGTCAATGTTTTTGATTTCTTTCAATGTGCTCGAGCTTATATCGGCATATATAGAGTTTTTCGAAGGACGTTCAAACTCTAGTTTAGTTGGCGCTTTCTCCTCCTGCACCACAAATTCTTGTGGCTTATACGTGATCTGGTGGAAGTCGTTTGCTCTCAAGCGTTTTTTGCACGTAGGGCAAGTTCGATGCTGATGCCACCACATTCGCAAGCAGTCCTTGCAATATTTGTGACCGCAAACCGTCAGAACACCTGTATTTGGTTAGCACCGCCGCCACTTGAGGGCAATGACTTTTGTGCTGCTGATACTGACCGACTTCAAACCCAGACTGGCAGATGACACATATCCTTGATGTCTCGTCTGAGCCAGACTCATCTCGCAGATGGATTAGGTACCGACGTTTTGCTCGCAAAGACGAGATTTTCTCGTCAATCTCACTCTCCTTTTTGAGCTTCGAAGTGAAGAGTGTCACATCCAACGGCTTACCAACACTGTTTTCATCATATGGGGCAACAGTGTCAGATATCTGCTGCAATTGGCGATAATATTCAAGCCGATTGTTCATCGTATCTCGAAACATCTCAACCTCCCTCTCCAAGCTGGAAGCAGCCTTGGACTGTTCAGCTGCCAGTTGGCTTGCATGTCTTAGCACAAGACTGACATTCTCGAGCTCTGCACGCGCCCGAGAACTTCCTTCATTCGCTTGCCATTCAAGCGCGGTGGTCAGGCTGCGAAGCTCGCTGATAATGCCTCGAAGGGATCCGAGTTGCGGATCAGGCTTCAGATTACTGCGTAGGTTCATCACTTCCAAGAATAGGGTTGGAGAAGGCCCTTCGCCCTTTTGTGCTTGGATAATTCCTTGCTTAACTTCATGGGCAATGAGAACGTTTTTTTGTCCAGTTAAGCAATCATGACGGTCGGCGAACATTGCGCGCAAGGCTTCCATATAAACGTACATTTCATCCTGGTGCTTAGTGGATTTTTCATACTCGTCACCTTCGAGCTCCGACTCGTCCTCTTGGTCGATGAGTGACTGGGAGAGGAACTTTATCATGGTTTGACGCCAGTTATCGTACTGTGCAGCATGCTGATTCATGGCTTCACAAAAGTCTTCGAATTTCTCGATCACGCGCCGACCTTCTAGCCCTGTGCTATATACCTGAGACTTCATCTTGGGAATGTTCACGAATTCCTTCTTGTGTGACTTTTCCCTTATCAATTTCATGTAATGGCCGACCTTTCGGGATATATCAACCAGCATCTCCTTCCGGATGGCTTTCGCTGTGGTATACGCCTCCTCTTCCTGTTTCTCGAGAAGTTTGAATTGTTCAGAGTCATGTTCAGTGAGCCTCGGATCTGACTTGATCTGGTAATACGCGTTCCCCATGAAGAACACACAGATATGTTGGACCTCGAGAGCTAAGCGCAATCTCTGACGATATGTACCAATGCGGGTGTTCCTTTCTGTTTCTTCCGCCTCGTTATCACTTAATGAGTCTACTGACACAGAATCTTGGTTATCGCCTGCGGATGTGACTCGACTCTTCATACGTTCCGTTTGCAACCGGTCCCGACATTCTTTAACGATTGCACTTGCTCGCTCCAGGCACTCCTTCCAAAGTTGGAGTGCTTCATGCTTGCGCATTGCGTTCTCCAGCAACTGCCCCCGCCGAAGCTGAGACAGGAGCAAAGTGCGCTCTTCTGTATGTATGAGCACGTCATTCTGGTCGATCATGACCTCGAGCACCTCATTCACCGACCGTAAGGGACCGTTGTAGCCAACGCCCAAAGTCCGGCGACCGGTGCCTGCAGGATGAAGGCAGGTTTGACGGAGCCTGACTAGCCAACTTCGCATCTTCTCAACCACTGACGGGTCATTAGGATTCCATTCATCAGTTGTCGGTGCGCCTGACAAATCAAGGCCACAATCTTCACACATCTGCTCGTACAGTTGGCCATAATGTTGCTCTTCCACTGCAGTAAAAGGGATTGTTATAACGACCCTCTTCTGTGGTGGCAAACGAAGCTCATCGCGAACATGATCTTTACTATGACGAAGGGCAATTGTGTGAACTATGTGTGCTAAGATAGATCGGAAAGACACGCATAGCCTGTTCCAGATGAAGCCACAATAGGGTTCGTAATGAAGAAAGAGCAGCAGACCCAGAAGATCCGCAATATCTTTACGAAGAGGCGTTCCAGTTACCGCCCAAGCCAGTTGACGTGGGATCAGACGAGCAACTCTCGCTGCATTGCTGACACCGCTCTCAATCATCTGTGCTTCATCTAGGCAGACCCGCCACCAGGATATCTGAACAAGTGGCGTTCTTCTTGCCTCGAAACGCTTCTCATGGCGCAGATTTCGCTTTGGAGCATCACCGGAATAGTGGACCTCCCGAGCAAGAACGTTGTATGTAGTCAGCACAACATCATGATCCGATATCAGCTCGACCAGTTCATTATCTGCGAGTTTTTGATGACGCTGGATCCCTTCATAGTGATATACACTCAGCCCTGGAGCATGCAATTCAATCTCTTGCCGCCATTGCTCAAGGATCGCCGGGGGCGTTATGATCAATGTCGCTCTTGATGTCTTCAAGCCGTCGACGCGTCCATGCTGGCCTGTATCCTCCGAGAACGTGAAGCGTCGATGGAGGCAAATCAGGGTGATCATTTCGACCGTCTTACCTAATCCCATCTCCTCGGCTAGCACGCCCCCGTTAAGGACATTCTCGGCATCATACCAGCTTGTGATATTGGAAGTAACGACCATAAACAACTGGCTGGCGAAACACTCTTTACCATCCGCATCAGTAAACCTAGTAAAGGACACTGGCAGGTCACTGGTAGACTCCCGCTTTAAAGGAGTAGTTCTCCCGTCTGGTTGAAGTTCCACGCCTTCCCTTTGCAACAACCACCTGACTGCCCTTCTTTGAAAGGGGAAAAGCTGACACTCCAACAAGTCACACTTAATATCTGCCGATGAAGCAGGATTGTCTGGTGGGACATGTACATTGTCATAAAAGTCACGTGGTGACCAACCTGTTGCACCTATATCCCTACGGTGCTTTTGCCGAAGATTTTCGAATACTGTGTCATCATCATCCCGCAAGATGTATCTCGAGAAGACTTTTGCTGGACCAGCCGACATCTTATTGATGTCTGGGATATCAAGGGAGTCTCTCCAGATGATGACCGTCTCCAAGCTGAACGTCTTCCCATCAGACAGACAGTGGAGAGTAGATTGATAACAAGTTGAAGGAACATTCTTTTGAAAGTGGTCGGCGCAAGCAAGGCTTGAGGCGAGAGACAGATGATTACCCAATACAACGAGCTCAGGATCAGAGCTTTCAATAGTGAAAATTGTTTCACGCCCCAAAGCCGACACTAGTGCCAGGCTGAGACAGCTATACAGCCCTTCATTCTGAACAGTAGCAGACTGGGTCGGAGCAACCCTATTTACATCGAGGATGACAGGTACAGTATCCAGCGGCTCGATAGCACCATCCTTGTCATCTCGATCATGAGTTGCAGAATCAAAATTCTATCAAGCATCAGCAAGTTGGTCTAAAGAGACCCGGGAGAGGCCGGCTTCTGTCACACATGGAGGATACATACCAAGCGCAGATTGAAACGCGCCAGTGGTATGTAACCTATTGGTACTCGTGAGTCCGATAAGCCATTGAGCTGTCTAAGAGCCCGAGTTGCCGAAGCCAGCTTGCGACGTTTACTCGGATGCTCATGGGTCACTGGCTGCTCGGGCCTGACGAAGACAGTGGCCAATGATTCCGGGACATTGCCTGAAGCGTAAAGATTAGTAGGGAATATTAGGATATGCCACCTAAAAGGTCGAGGATTTATACCAGGATAAGAAATTTCTGCATTCAGTACAGTCATGCCGCCCCCTCTTGTCTTTGACGCCTCGACTTGCCACCAAATGAATGTTGAGTCGAGTAATACTCTCTCACTGTTGCTCCGATACGGCGATCTGATAAGACGATCTCACGTGCTGATAGGGCTGGGTTATGTTAAGTCCGGAATCCTTCCGTTCTAATGATTTGCTTAGTCAGTCAACCATGACTCGGTCATGGCCGGTTCTGTGCTTCCAACAATAACTACAAATAGATAGATAACCCAGAGGCCATGGAAGCTTGCTCTGCAGTGACGTATAAGTTGGAAGATATAGTTTGAGTCTCATCTACATTTGATCACGTTTGGGTCTCATACATGTTCGCACCATGATCTCGGGCACCGTATGCCTCCTAGCTGTCAGTGTCCGATCTCTGCTCTGGACTCGCCCTGTTGCTGGAATTACAGCGTTTCGCAAGTGAGATGGGTTATCGTTACTCACTTATGATAGGATTCCATGGGCCGTATTTCTGTTTCTGTTGTTCATGTACGAACCATGTAGAGCTGGCGCCTGGCCTTATTCTGCAAGATAATTTTCTCTATTCTATCTAATCACTGCTTTACAGGTTATTCCTTTCGCTTCCAAGGGCCTGCTTACAACATCTATTTCAGGAACCCGGATCTACAACATAAATTCCGCATGCGGCATCATTAGCTGGACTCCGTGTCAGAAATTTTCTCGCGGACCTACACTGTCACTCCCTCATCTTGTGCTTTTGAGCATAGTGGTTTTTCTTTTAGGTACAGCGCCTACTGTTTTCGTGACCAAGTAAGTGCCATGAGATGAATGGACCAGATGACGGGAATTGATCGACCAAGGTAGAGGCACAATAGCAATATGCAGGACGTTTTTTCGCTGTCCTATTCATAGAGAACGCCAAATCCTGTTGGCTAGTAGATGATATTTAGCTGATATGACCGTTCCGGACCCTGAATGCGATTATGGCCCTCGTGTATTCCAAATCATCCCCTAGAGCTGGAAGAGCTCCCTCAACTGTCTCATGGTGTCATCAGGGTCCTCAACGGAGTGACCGATCGTCCTAGGGTCACTGTAGATCTCGTAGTCGTTACCACCAGGGAATGTCTTGTCACCGAAGAAATGGATCGTCTTATAATCGATACCCGTAATATCTTTCTCGGCTTCGACGTGTTGTAGGCAGTAAGTCTTGTCCCAGCCGGTCGGGAAAACGTCAAACGAGATTTCGCCACCAATGGAGTAGCTGTTCAGAACTGTTAATAACTGTAATGGCCATACGCAGTCACTGGAGGCCTGGTGATTATATTACATACCTCAAACCATAGTCAGGGAACTCCTTCTTAAGCGCATCGACAAGATCGCGGCGGATGTTGTGAATCTTGTCATACCTGCTCATCAATTCAGTCAAGTGGTCCTGTATATGTGAGCACCGAGCTACCGCTCATATACATACGCTTCAAACTCCTTCCGTTCCTCGGTGCTAGCATTTCTGCCAATCGGGCTGACGTTGATCATGCCATTGCGGAACTCGACGAAGGTACCGCGCTTCTTAGGGATCTCCAAGTTGGCGATGTACTTGAGCAAGAAGTTGACCAACTTCTGATATTTTTCTTCTCCCAGCCATTGGATGAAGCTGTTGCTGAGAAGAGGCTTGCCCAGGCGGAAAGCGGTCAAACCGTTCTCGGCGAAGCAGAAATCGAATAGGGTTGTGACGTCCGTAGTGTTTCTACCGAGCTGTTCTTGCTGCTTGGGAAGATTCGAGCCACCGACCTGACAATGTGAGACTGCGCGCTGACCCTAAGAGAAATGAAGACAACTAACGAATCCGATCGCGCACTTGTGACGCAGCTGAGAGAGAAGCGTGAGCATCTCCGGGGTGACATTCTATAATCGGTGTAAAAAAGAACAGATTAGTCTTCCAAAATACTAAACGAATAGACAGAGCAATTCCAAGGAGTAATCAGTTCAATCTTGCGAACTTACAGCACGGGCAGGCGTTAACGTCTTGTCGACATCAAAGAGACAGATTGTGCCCTTGAGGGGGCGGTCCTGCAGGGCAGGATAAATGCCGGCTGCTTCAGTGGCCATAATGAATATAGATTTAGAAGAGAGTTGAGGAATAAGGTAAGTGAGAGAGACTCTGAAGCCAAAGGCGCAATTGACTGAGGGGCAATTGGACTATGTATCTTTTCAGGGGCGGACGTTGTGACAGCCGCATGCGGTGAGCTGGAGGGACAAGCGGGGGTTCCAGACAAACATTCTTACAGCTTAACCGTATCGGGCGGCTTCCAGACAGCTAGGCAGTGAGGCACCAAGGCCAGGCCCAAGGCGGTCAATCTCCGATTTCTCCATACGGATGATCCACGTGGGGCTTGCTTCGCTTATCGATAAGTATGATAAGCCATACGGTGGTTACTGAAATATCGCAGTCAAAGGCGTAAATGGTACTCCGTGCATCTAATATTGCCGCTGCCATTGTGCCTGTTCTTCTTCCATCTGTAGTCAATATTAACTATGATACCGAGCGTACAGGTAGTATTTATGGTGTATGCATGTTCCATTAAGACTAGCTACGGGCCAATAAAATTCTTGTATATGAGGCAGACAACAACGCCAGACCGACTCAAAGGACTCCTTTTCATCGCGTGAAACGTCAACGGCCCATGGTCGTCTGAAAGACCTTGGCTGCTAATTCACTCAAAAGCCTTGCTCGATCTGTTTGAGGAAGCTGGAGGAAGACATCGTAAACGCTCTTTCCTTTGGCATCTCGCACTGCACCAAGACGATTGCCAGCGACTGCGCCAGCCAATGCTCCAGGAGCATTAGCTACGATGAAACCGAGAGCACCCCCACTAATTCCACCTACAACGGACCAGAACCGAGACGTCGGGTGTGAACGAGTCTGACCGTCAGCATCTGTGCCTTCGCTAGCAAGGCCCTCTTCACGCAGCATTTCTTCGAACACCGACCCGAATTGCTCATTTGCACGTTGCTCACTATCAGCAGTGCCAGTGCCAAAGCCAAAAGCGGACCAGGGAAATCCTCCTGCACCTCCATGGGGCACTTCCTCCTCTTCCTCCTCGACACCGCCTGCCATCCTCATCGCATCATACTCCCGTCGGCGTGATACATCTGACAATGTGTAATAAGCATCGCTGATCTCCTGAAACTTGCGTGTCCGAGCTGCCCTCTCTGGCGAGTCGACAGGGACTCTGTCTGGATGAGACTTCAGAGATTCCCTACATGGTTCAGAACAGATCATGGTTGCAGCATGATGGGCATCGGCTCACCTTTTGTATGCATTGCGAATCTCTTGTTGTGTCGCTCTGGGAGACACTCCCAGTACCTTGTCTACATTTGGCTTTGATTAGTTCGGACACTTTCCATACAGTATGTAGAAGTTGGCATTTCGTACAATAATCGCGTTGTTCTAATCCACAGTCAGTTCATATGTTAAAGCCATGAAACACGTTTGTGCACGCTTACTAGGCATGTCTAAATATCTCTATGTTAGAAGATGTGCCGTGCTCCAAGCTCAGATGGTGAAGAGCCAGATGAGTGTAGCTTCATTCGTGTCCACCCTTCCTGAGAGGTCATTGACTTGGCGGGGGAAAGATGACGTCGACGAGGCATTCATGCCTCAGGCATCAGGAAGCACGGAACGAAGGTTCGGCCTTTTCCACCAGCGACTCGGTTCTGACTAAACAGCAGAGACGGGAAGCCCCTGAGGGCAGCACCAATCATGGGGATGGCGCCAAAGTTAGGACGCCCGGAACCACTGCCACCAGCCACTCGTAGAGAGCGTTGTACGTACGCTGCAGATGCTAGCCACTGCTAGGAACACACTAAACAGTAGGCACAGTTCAGTGGTTAGTGATGGTTTTCAGCTTTGCCTCCTGCACAGACGGGGGAGTCTCACCTAATCCCCTCCCCCCTTCATTTCATTTAACTTCCCTCACACGGCTTGCCATGCTACTTTAACCCTCTCAATTGCACGCTTTCTAGGAGACTCGAAGTTGTCTCTGATAGATATTATTTGCAGTCACATTCAATTGACAGCAGTGTGAACCACCCCAGCTTGTGACTCGTCCAATATCCGCACCGCAACTTAGCTGTGGAGCTGCCAAAACGCCTGGACCTCAAATTGTGTGCATTTGCAGCACGCTACGACTCCGCAATAGCGCGATTGCTTTTTACAGACTTCACCAGCACACAATACATCTGGAGGGGTCATACTTTCGTGCCTCCAGCCATCTTTATCAAGTAATTCGCTTGGAAAAGTACTGTGTCAGCATTGGTCGAAATTCCAAATTTGAGCCTGCCAATAAGTCGCTCAAGGCATCCATAATCAGGAACACCGATTCAAGATGGGCTGGTTTGATGGAAAATCTTCATCCTCATCTTCCCACCACTCTCATTCCCGCCGCCGTTCTTCCCCCTCACGACGTTCCACTTACTCAACTCATCATCCTCGTCACTCTGCTCCCTCGATATTCAGTCTGAACGGTGGTGGTAGTCGCGTCGGACGCACCAGCCCGTCCGTGCTCTCTTCGTCCTCATCGCGGCGCGCACGTCCCCGAACAGGCTTCGTGCAGAAGGTGGTTCGCGCCATCAAACGCTTGCTCCGTGACATTTACGACTATGCGCGTCAAAACCCAGTGAAGGTTCTCATGCTGGTTGTCATACCGCTCCTCACGAGTGGTGTTCTGCAGAAATTGCTCGCCATGATCGGAATCCGACTGCCAAAGGGGCTTTTTGGCGGGAATTCATCGAAGCCCAGTGGCAACAGCATGTCAGACAACATCAAGGGTCTCATGAACATTGCGAAAATGCTGATGTAACCTACTGAGGCATTGCTTTAACCTCTGTATTCCAGCGCTTCTGCACTTTGATGTATGAATGGGAACATCAGCGAGGATTAGTCAGAAAAGATAGACACGACACGATCATGATATGACAATGACGATACGACGCAAACTTGACTTGATGCTTCTTGGTTGTTACGATGTCCGTTGGCGGTTGCGGGTAACTCCAAAGAGTCATGTTCCCGATATGTTTCTGATATTTATCGTTTACGGTGTTATGCAAATGTTCAAGTATTTAGACACGATTTCAATGAAACGTCCCCACGGCCTTCTGGCCTTCTAAAATATTTTTTGGACACCAAACACTATTTGTACACATGCAATGCCAAGAATTGTTCGTAAGCTCTTTGAGAGGGAAAGCATCGAACCACAGAGAATACCGCATATCAAGTAAGCGGGTTTCGCTATCTATGTCGGATTCTTTACGATCTCTGAGACCGCTTTCCCCGCCTCCTTGCCTTGGAAGGTCTTGCAGAGCTGGCGGTGCCTTCAGTCGAATCCTCCACGACTTCGGAAAGCTCCTCCTCTGACTCAGCACCGCTATCCACGGCATTTGAAGCGAGCAACCTGCCAACCGTCTTAGAGTAAACCCAGCCCGGCAAGCGGAAGACCATCGTGTCACGAATTGTCGGACGCTGAATCTCATCGACGTCGAGCAAGAATTCCTGACGCTCGCCATCTTCTGTTTCCTCCTCCAGGAACACATTTCCAAGAGAGTCGACAATCAGTACCTTCCCATTCTCAGCAATCACCTTCTTCCGCTCCCCGGTGGGCTCCGTCTGAGGCTCGGAAGTGGGCGTGGCCGTTCCCGAGTTCCGGGATGTCGCCCGGCCACCTTTCTTGCCCTCCTTGCGGTTCTCCCTGTCCATCATGCGCTTTTGGCGACGGTTCATAGGCATGGCACTCTGTTCGGGCTCCGGAGCCGGTGCCGGAGTTGGGGCAGGAGCTGAGGCACCATCAAGACCGGGGATACCCCGGACACCAGATTCATCACCCCAGGCAGCTCTCCTCGCTTGACGGATGTAACGATCGACGAACTCCCGCTGGCGCTTCCAGCCCAGCACCAAAGCAGCATAGTGCGCACCACCACCAAAGACCAAGAACAAGCCAATAAGCACGGATCCCAGACCAGGACGGAATCGCGAATAGTAGTAGCCAGTTCCCTTCCACTTGGGGAAACCATTCTTCAGGAAATGGTCGTAGCGCTCGCGACCCGGGCCACGGAGGATATTAGCGACGGTGTTGAGACGAGCGGAGCGCTCATGAGCCTCCTTCACGGCCGCGGCGATTTCGCGCTTCGAAGGACCATTGTTGACATGGACACCGGACTTGGAGGACTTGGAGCGAGACTTGTCCTTGGAGCTGTTGGCGATGAAGGACCGCTTGACTTTATCGGGATGCAGAAGTCGGGACTTCTGACGGTAGGCCTTGCTCAATTCATCTTGGTTGGCGTTGGGTTTGGCGCCGAGGAAATCTGTCCGTTGGGAAGATGGTCAGTGGCGGGGGACTTTGGAGATATGGAAGGGGAATTTGTTTGCTCAGGGGAAACGTACCGTAGAATGTCACATTAGGACCTTCTGCAGCGGCGAGTTCGTCATTGATACGGAAGATTTCATAATCTGGAGAGTCGCAGAGAATTAGTATGTGGGAATAGAGAAGTTTGCGGGATAACAGAAAGGAAAAAAGAGCAGCAACTGACCTTCTTTGGTCCAAGCCGCGGCCAGAACAATCAGGGCTACAAACGCAAACAGACGAAGTGCGATAGACCTCATCGTGGAAGAAGGGAGCGGTCAAGCCGCTGGACCCAAAGCGAAAGAGAAGAGAGCGAATGAAACAGAATGAGCAGTGGAGAATAATTGGTGCGCCAAACAAAAGACTACATGCAACTCATGTTCATGATTCAACAAGTGGTGAAGTACTTTGTAACTTGTTCTTCCTCCGAAAACAAGATAGGTGGAATCCTCAGGCGACGATACCGCCAAAGCAATGATCTGTCATCAGGCAGGAATGGCGTTACGCTTCCGTGACGAGAGAGCTAGGCCTAGAATGGGCAAATCCGGGTTCACCGCCCAGATCGGTATGGAACGCCTGAAACGGAATTACGGTACGGGTCCAGTGGAGTCTGCAGCTGCACGACGTGGTCCAATAAAGGATCCAAGGCCAGGTGAGGAGAAATCGAAAAGAGGAGATAGGTAGATGGAAATGTGATTGATACCTAATGTTTGCAGAAGTGGCTATTCCAACTCACAGGCTGGCTGGCAGTAGAGAGAGGGGGTGGTGGTTGGGACAGCTGGGTTTAAATGCGAGACAAGTCCCCTCTAGCAGTAGTGTAGTGGATAGTGAGTTACTGAGTGCTCTTCTTCCTCGATCACTCTCGTGGAACAGGGTATATCAGGCATGGAATTGGAAAAGCAGTGGAAGATGATTGACGAGAAGTGATTGGGATGGCTTCTCGAGTAGTCAATCCTCAAGAGTGATCGTCTAATCTCTCTTTCTATCGAGATCTCTTCTTCCGCAACCAGCTTCGAAGGGTCTGTCTCTCTACCCTCTCTCTCCACCCATTGCTACCCTGCTTTTCTATTCTTAGCGGGCCTCATCCACCGTGAATCTTGATTGGATTCGAGAGGTCCATGAAACCGAAGCAGTGACTGGAGCAGTGACTCAAGCGTTGGATCCAAACGTGCCTTGTTTATTTGCCTTGCCCGCCATTCCTCCGATACCTTATAAGAAGCACCCGAATCCACTTCGTCTTCACAATTAACCTTCTTTGTTGCTGGGCGGTACTCTCAAGCCTGTTGCAAGGCGGATCGGTACCTGGAGGGTACTTACTTCAGTTACTTTGTCTGTGCTTCCCGCCTGGACCGCCGGGGGGGAACAACCAACGAAAAAAATACCGGGACCAGTACTGGAATACGCCTAGACTAGTTCGGTGCTTCCAGGCTGCCAAAACGCCTCGTTGGTTTTGCTTTCGGGCCAGCTAAGCCGCTTCCAATCTTCCTCGACAAAAACATTCCCCGGTCTCTCTTCTCTCTCGGTCCTTCCCCCTTTTCTTTACTGCTTTTACTACACTTCATCTCCATCATCTTACCGTCTTCAGTCTTCTCATACCTATCACTATTTTCCCGATTTACTTCATCTCATTCAATTATCATTCTCCTACCTTATCATTCAAATTCTCCCCGAATCTCCAAAAATGCCTCTCCAGATCCCCATTGATGCGATTACCTCGCGCTTTGGCGAACGGTTCAACAGTGTTCGCTCTCAATCTCTCGGCACGCGCTTTGCCAACCTGCGTCCCATCTCCGAATTCTTGGACATCAAGCGTGTCTCCAAGCCCGCCCATTTTGGCGAGGTCCAGAGCCGTGTGAACTACAATCTGTCCTACTTCTCCAGCAACTATGCCGCCGTCTTCGTGATGCTCAGCATCTACAGCTTGCTGACCAACCCCCTGTTGCTTTTTGTCATCATTCTGGTTACCGGTGGTCTTTACGGCATCGGAAAGCTCCAGGGTCATGACCTGGAACTGGGCTTCGCCCGGTTCAACACTTCCCAGCTGTACACCGGACTGCTAATTGTCGCGGTGCCTCTGGGATTCTGGGCCTCGCCCATCTCCACTGTGCTCTGGCTGATCGGAGCCACCGGCGTGACTGTCTTCGGCCACGCCGCTTTTATGGATAAACCAATCGAGAATGCTTTTTCCGAGGAGGCGGTCTAGGTGGTCGGCCGCGAACTCCTTACGGTATGCCCCGATGGGGAAGACCACCGGGGGCACGAGTGGGGAGAGAAAACAGACGTGCAGCTCCATGGGTGGACGGTGCGGCACGGGTCGAGGAGATTGACAGCGAGGAGGAGGATGCATACGCTCGATCGGCGTATGCGAGGCAGTCGGCGGGTCGGGACGAGGATGGAGGGTCTAGGTTGCGCAGGCGGAAGATGGATTACGATGATTATGTGGACGAGATGAATTCGATTGATGGGATGGACTATGATCTGCGTGAGGACATGGACAGCACAGTGGCGTATGCGGTTCAGCTAGCCATGAAGGACAAGGAGGAACGGTTGGTGGATCAAGCCTTGGAACGGATTCGACGCGCTCAAAAGCAGGGCCAGAAGAACGTACGACTTTCGGGTCGAGAAATGGAGGCGCTGGAGCGCAAGCGCATGCAGGCAAACCGGACTCCTGATCACGACTACCGGAATACAAGTCCCCAGGTTTCCCCCGGTGGCAGCCGATCCTCGAAGCCGCCGGACAGCCCCAGCAGCAAAAGGGGAGCGCAACGGATGGGGTCCAATGCCTCGACAGCGAACAAGCATGGTGTGCCCTCACCGTTAGCCGAGAACAACGCTGCCTATGCGTTCTGGGCCTGGACCTCGGGGGCCTCTGGCGGGTCCCCAGCTTCTGCACGTTCGCCATCTGCCCGCACGCCTACAAGCCAAGCACCGCCTCGATCCCCGCTCCAGCCAGCTTACGCCTTCGACCGCCTGGCTTCCGTCCCTCAAATTCGCACACCGGTGGGCGTGAAGAGTCCCTCTGTGCGTTCCCTCCCTGACGATCCACAGTGGGCGCCTCCGTACCCTCCGCCGTATACAAGAGAACCGCCGCCGTACCCGACCGATCGTCGACGCCCCGAGCCAACTCCATATATGTCAGGCTACCGCAGTGTCTTTGACGATTCTGCGCGTAGCAACAGGCGAGGTGTGACTGCTATGCCGGGGGCTGCGATGGAGGGGCGTCTCAGTGCAGAGGAAGAAGAGGAGGAAGGAAATAGTTCCGATAACAGCGCCATGGTTGAGCGCCGCGTGGCCGGCAGTACGCCGACACGGGGGCCAATCGGGCGAGGCAGTCGACCCCGGAGCAGTCGATCTTGAACCCCCGAATCGTGCCCTTTCACAACGTTGCTTTCTTTTCTATCATGGGCGGCTCATGTCGCAGCTGATTTAGCCTTGAATGTTTCTTGCGTGGATTCCCATGGTTGATTTTCTTGCGCGTATAAAACGTAATGGAGTTCGTCTAGAGCGGGTACCTGAAATGATACTATTGATAGTGATGATTTGTTCTCCAAATCCCATCTTAGTAAATGTTAGTAATGTAACGTGTGGGGAGGTCCCCAAGTAGTAGATCGTGGTGGCAGTGATGGTATCCCTGCTGACGAGGGAAGCGAGACTAACTCGTGATACAGTTCATGCAAGTCACCGTGGCTGGTGGCGGATCCCGAAACCTAAACGGACTGACTATAAGAATTGTATCGACTGTATAAGACGATCCGAGCAGAATTGTGTCTGCCTAGACTAACTGGGCAAACGATTGGGAGGATGAGCTAAAAGAAGTCGTAAGTAAGTAAGCAAGAGGAGAATGTATCGATTAATTGGGGCCTGAAATGCGAGGAACCGCGGACCGATGACGTCGATGAGGTCATGGGCAAATTGGCTGTGCAAAGAATGCCAATACCCAGCTTCTGCTTTACTTTCACTCAGGATTTACTTTGCAGAGCTTCCGATCCAGCCGGCAGTCCATTGGATAGACTTTGGGATCTACTATGTACTACTAGTAACTCTTCAGCAGTGATGCCACTCTCCTGGCCGGTGGGCCCTCTTCGTCGTCACCATCTGGGCAGCTGCGTGTTAAATTGAAGACGGACTCGGTCTCTCCACCGACCCAGTCTTTTGCTCTTCTTTTCCTTTAGTCACTCTTTTATTACTCTCCTCCTCTCCTCTGCGACCTCCCTCTTCCCCCCCCCCCCTCGCTGCCAATTTCGCCCTCTTGTCGTCGGTCAAGGTGTCACCAACGCAGTCAAACGCCGTCTACCTCCCTCTTCCTGCTGACCCTCGGGATCCATTGATTGACGACAAGCCACTTCCGCCCCTTCCGGCGCCCGCGTTCCACCCGATCGCCCATCGCTACATCTTATACTACCTCGATCAGTCTTCCACGGCAGCTCTTCTTTTTGGCAGCAACGGTTGCTGGAGTGCGCTGACTGTTGCGCTTGCTCGCTGGGATATTTACTACTTCATTGGAAGAGGGGAAGGCAATATATAAGTAATCTAGCGAAAATGTGGATCATATCGTTTTGGATATTTCCGATCATCTCGGCGTGCACATGGATTGGTAGCGTCTCCCCCTTTACAATTGCGAGTCAATCGTTCCGACAGAGACTGACAAGTCCCTTCTAGCCATGTTGATTGCGATGCTGGCCACCTGGGCCAGAGAAGGATCGCCGATATATGCCAGTATGGAGACGGGTCAGACCATTGCGTAGGTGTCACGCGACCTTGGATCTAGTATGCAACTGCAATGCTGATTGTACACCTTTCGTGGATTTCTAGATATATTTCCGATGTTGGAGCACAGGGTCTGAAGCCGCTGTTCATTGCGGGCAGCTGCGTCACTGTCGTTTTCCTTGATCTCTCTTTCCTGTCAGAACGCTGGTTGCGACATGCGGGTCAATTGGTCCCGAACAAGGGCAAGTTCGACAAGGCCTGCGCAATCGCGTCCATTTGCTTCTCGATCGCGGGCGCCTTGGGATTGATCCTCCTTTCGATCTTTGATACTCTTCGTCATCCGAATATGCATGATGGCTTTTTGATCATGTTCTTGTTAGTATTTGATCGCACATTCGAAGAGAGAAACCCTCCGAGGCTGACATATCTGCAGGGTCGGATACTTGATTAGCGCCATTCTCATTTGCTGCGAATACTGGCGTTTGGGAATCTTCTACCGCTCCCAGCACCGAGTGCTCCTGGCCAGTTTCATCATCAAACTCTCATTCGTCATCATTGAAATTGCGCTGGCCATCGCTTTTGGTGTCCTCGGCAACAAGGGCGGTCATTACCGGAACGCAGCGGCAGTTTTGGAATGGGGTGAGTGATCTATAGATGACATCCAGCAATATGGATAGATTGGCTAACTGAGAACAGTTATTGCGCTTATCTTCACCTTCTACGTGCTTTCTTTCGTGATCGACCTGTTGCCCTCGGTGCGCACGCGCAAACATGTGCCGCAGGGCGAGAAGGTGTCCCGAAATGGACAAACGACAGCGGCCTATCCCGATGGCACATACGACTACGAGGAGCCCGTGACGACGGACTCGGCAGGGCCGAATGCGAATTACTACCGGGGACAGCGGATATAATTAGGTGTTCTTTTGAGTAGACTCGGTGTGGGATATGGTTTGACTATTTGGAACGATATTTACGATATATACCCCGTGGATAAGAGTGGTTGTATGATGGAGCTGATTTGTTTGATATATTCAGTTCTTGTTGGTGGTGTTGATGTTGACGTCTCTTCGGACCTCATCTGCGATCCTTTTGCACATATTGATCTATGACGTTGACTGTATAGTACGTGCCTAATATCTGGATAATGTATGATCATTGAGAGTAGTGATACATTCAATCTACTACCAAACTAAATACCAAAGACGCCATGACAACGCAGAAATGATTACATTATATCATCGAGTAAGACATCATCTAGACCTTAAGAAATCAAATCTACCTATACATCCACCCCTTGAAATAAAAATACCAAGAAAACAATGTAAGAAATAAAGAAATAAATAAATAAATCAAGCCAACAACACCTCCCTAATCCTCTCAACCTGCTGCCTCCCCACCCCAACCGTGCCCAAATACCCCTGCACCCCACCATACCTCTCCTCCAAATGCCCCCGCATGGTCTCCACAAAGTGCCGCGGACACTTGGTATAATCCTCCGACAACCCCAACAATCTCACCTCCTTCATGCGCTCCTCCATCTCAATGACCAACTCGCCCTCAGAACGGAGATAATCCTCCCTTATCACCTCCTCCGGCACCACATCCGCCACAAGCAGAAGCAAAAGAATGATGATAAGACCCGTGCGATCTTTGCCTTGCGTGCAGTGAATGAGAACTGGATAGGCACTACTATCCTCAATCTCATCATCGCTGCCATCTGCGGTAGAGGTAGAGGACGTGGATGTACCAGAAGAGAATAAATCAAATAACGTCTTTATCTCCCCATAACTACTATCCAATGTATCAATGCCTAGTCCGACCAGTCCCCGCGGAGACATGACTTGCTGTCCGACTATTTGGACGGCTGCGGGGCGGTAGCCTGATGCTGCTAGGGCTAGGACTTTGCTGTATTTTTTTTTTTCTTAGTTTCGTTTCTTTTGATCTCTAGTGATTTTGGGGAATGATGATTTTTGGGAAGAGAGGGTGAGTGGGGAGGCGTACAAGAAATTCCACCAATCCAACTGCCACAGAAGCGCCCGCTCGAATGCTTTTCCTGTTAAGCTGACGGGGAAGCGAGTGACGGTGGGGAGATCGGGGAGGTGGATGTCTGTTGATGTTGATGTTGCTGATGGTGATGATGATGCTGTTGGTTCTGGTGCTGGTGCTGGTGGTGTTGATGTTTGTCTTTCGGGTGACTCTGTTGATGATGATGACTCTGTTGATGAAGCAGCAGCAGCAGCAGCAGCAGCAGCAGCAGCTAGTTCAGCTAAGCGCTTGTTGGTAGCTATTTGGTGTTCGGTACTGTATTTTCTGTCAATATCAAGGATATTATTAAGAAAGTTCAAGGTAGAATAATACCTCGATCTCAGATCCACGACCGTTGAGATATGGAATTCGTCTACAAGACGGCGTTTGTCGCGCTCAGAGGCATCGTCTAGCTTTATTTAATTGAGGTGATGTTAGTACATGTTTCAACCATTCCAAATGTCATCGATATACAGAATTTGTAAAATGGTAGGTATATATACCCTTGCACTTCGAAAGAGGATACCCTCTTTCAACACCCTATACAAAGCTATTAGTACACAGCATACGATATATTGATAGTATATAAGGATATGCATACCTTTTCCCAATCAACTGGTTAATCGTACGCCCAACATCCCGGAAATTGATAATGTTGTCGAACGGACGACCCGGAGAATCGAGATCAACGCTCGATTGGCGGGGATGCGAAGAAGACATGATTATCTTATCTGTCTTGTTCCTCCAGGATTGAATGTAATAGAGAAGAAAGAAGGAGGGGTTTATATATAGTACAATTGCGGTGTCCGTGATAGTCTTTGTGAAGATTCTACGCAGGCAGAATAAGGCCAGACAAAAAAAGTGGGACAAGAAGTGATGGACTGGGAGGTCCGCTGTAATAAGTGCAGAAAGGAGAAACCCGAAAAGAAAAGAAAAGAAAAGAAAGACAAACAACCGCAAACCGGGCAGTCAATCGACCTAACGAACGGGACTAAGCATGCAGGAATCCAGCAAGATATCTTGACAATATCCGAATGGCCCGGCCAAGGCAGAAAAGGTGGAGGAAACGTGGATGCGCCGATGGGGAGCCGCGCGGCAAATGGCGGTGGAGCTTCAGCCATCAATAACACTACTTAACTACTATCTTTATGGCCCAAACTATTATCTGCTCGCTGCAGTGCCGCCCATCGTCGGGCCAGTCAGCTTCTATTCTCCCTACGATCTACAGATAGTTGATATGTTTCCACCCGCTGTTGCATACTCATCTCCCCGGTTACAAGCATTTGCATTGTCATTCGCACACTAGTTATCAGAATTGAATTTATCCGCGGTTCCATCACTGTCTGCCCAATCCTGGATCCGACTGAACACACAGCAAACAGCAATCGCATCCAACAAACACCCAGCCCTACAGAAGTACACCGCAGTAGCACCGTAACCTCAGTCAGAAGATGACACATTAGTGGTATGTACCCCAACTCCCACCCTCGTAAAAGTACACAGAAACAGACACAAGAGATATCCCTACACAGTAAGATCAAACCAAGCCCCCCATTCAAATACAATAACAGACAATAAAAAACATCAACTCATATCAATCACAACTTCTCCGAAAACCTTGACTCCCGCCCAGCCCCGCTGCTCGCTCGCTTTCCCCGAACTGTTGGGACAGACAGGCCTTGTTCCGCCGCGCTCGCCCGTCGTTCCTCCGTCTCCACCCCCGGAGTGGGGATGGCCTGCGAGCTTCGACGAGCAAGATCATTGCTTCCAATCCCTTCAGTCTTCCCCTCCGACGAGCTCTTGGAAACAATCTTCTTGAACCCACTCACGAGACGACTGCGCCTATCTCCAGCGGATTCCTGACCTGCCTGGCCGACAGCTTCCTTCTCATCTTGGCCTTCGCTGACTGACATCCTTTTACTCATAACACGAAGGTCATTGGCCGTCACCGGATGGGATCGAAGCGCTGCTCCTCGCGAGTCGTCCTCGGCAGCTGCCTGGTCAGATTCTTCAGGGACAACAGGAGCAGCCGGGAGTTCGGGAACTTCGGGTTCCTTCTCTTCTGGATGAGCAATATCCCAAGCTCGCCCGTCTTCGTCTTCAGATTTCTGTACTGGCTCGGCTCTTGAGATCTCTCGAGCTTCCTGTGTTTCTACCCTCTCAGTTGCCTGGGGCTCCGGCAGTTGTTCCGTCTCTTCAACTGCCCGGGTCTCTGGCTGCTGTCCTGTGGCTTCAACTACCTGGGTCTCGGGTTGGTGTTCTGCCGTTTCACTCACTTGAGCCTCTGGCTGTTCTGCAGCTGGCCCTGGTTCCAGTGAAGGGACCACTTCCAGCGTGTCCTTGCCTGGCTTCGTAGCTTCGCCTGCTGCAGGTCCACTCGGGCGACGGCCTAGCCGACCCTTGAACCATGATCTCAGCTTCGACTCGGACTTTGAAATGGCCTCACCAGGAGCAGTCTCCGTGACAGCACCTGCAGTTGTCCCCTGAGCACCCTCCGTGGATGTCTGTTGCGGCGCAGTCTCAGCGCGTGCCTCATCTGCTGCTCCGTCAACAGCCCCAGTTAACGTGTAGGTTTCGTTCTCAGAAGTGCGCTTCGACTTGCGGCTCCACAAACGGGCTTTCTCCTCTTTGTATTTGGAGTCGGTCCTCAAAGAAGCTATTGCGAATGATTAGTCTTTCTCTCCAAAGGGATCAATCAGCAGAACAACTCACCTCTCATGCGTCTCTCCTCTGCCCTTGTGTCGGCATCTCGCTCGCGTTGGATGGCTTCTCGTCTCTGAGCTTCTTCCTCATCAAGGCGCTGCTCTATCTCCCTAGCTCTCTTCGTTTCCGCACGGTCCGTGATTTCATCAAACGTGGGTTGCAACCGGGAACGAGCGAGAGCCTCCACATCTGCCATGTCGACGTATTTCTGGGAGCTGATATTCACGCGGTCGGCGAGCTGGTACTGCGCGTCCGTCTCCTGTCTCTCTCTTGCTCGCAGTAGGGCGGTTTCCTCCAGTTCCTTCTGCATAGCGGCTGGGGCGCGCCCTGTCTCTGCATAAACACGCATCTCCATGTCTTGGATGGTAGCATCGACATTTCTTCTCGCAGCCTCCATCAGAAGCGCGCGGTCCTTTTCTCTGCGCTCATCCACCGCATCGAGCTTTGTTCGCAGACTATACATCTGGCTTCTGATCTCCTTCGACCTTTCTGCGTCAACCGAAGAAGCATCACTGTCGATTGATAGCCTTCGTCTGCGGACTTGTAAGCTGGAGCGCGTTGTCTGGGGCTCGATTCCGTAGTATTCGCGGTAGATGGCCGCCTCATCCTGCATGCTGGCCAACTTCTCCGCCGCCCGCTTCTCTGCGGCATCCTGTAAGCTAAAAGCCTGTTGCAAGATCATCGGCTCTGCTCCCGTCGCTGTCCGCTGGGAGCGCATGCGACTGGGGCTGATGGGGCCCTGCTCCTTGGCCTCGACGACCGCATACATGTCACGTGCCATAGAGACTGCTGCAGCCTGCAGGATGCTCTTCCGTTTGTAATCCTCCAGCTCCGGTGCGACGGGAGGGGTGGCGGTGTAAAGCCGCGCATTGGTGTTGGCAATATGCTGGATCCTACTAGCTTCCATAGCGTTGTCGAGATCTCCAAGGACTTCACCCGCCTCCATTCCCACGTGAGGCGCCTCTGACGGGGCGGAATCAGCTCTCCTTCGGTTAGCATATAAAGCACCCGTTACCGCATAACGCGTCCTATCTCGGCCTGTTGTACCGGAACGTGATTCGACCGTCTGACCAGCTCCGGACGAGTCATACTTGAGGTCTGAAGGCCCAGTGGAAGAGCTGACAATCGACCGACGGTCTCGGAGAACGAAGGCCGCAGCCTTGTAGCCTTCCAGGCTTGGCACATCGGATGCGCGCTTGTCGTCCACATGCTGTGTTGTAGCTGCACCTTTTGTCCCCCATCCTTTGGATTGGGCGTGAGCGAGAGCGGCTACTGCAGAT